TTTTTTAAAGGTTTAGTGGTTAGATCCCTCCACTTAATACAAAGGTGGAGCGCCCACGAAGTTAAATCCCAAGAATCAATTAAACAAGCAACAAGTGCTCTCAGAGAGTCTAACTTCCCCAAAACTGAAGGGCTGTACTAACACTTTAACGCTTTATGATGTTTTTATTGCAATATGATGATGTCACCCTGTTATTGAGTCATTGCAACATTCAATTGAAAAAAATGAAAAGATATGGTTTCTTGAAATTTGACCTTTGACCTTGAGTGCTGAAATTGAAGGTCAAGGTCATAGTGTTGTGAAGTTCGAAGAAAATAAATTAACATTACATTACAAAATTGTGGCTAATATAAAGTTTGTTTGTTTGTTTTTACAGATTTTCAAATTTAGTGTGACCTTGACCCAGTTTTGACCCAAATTAAATCAGCCGTTTTCGGTATCTACCATCACACAAAATTGGAAAATTATATCTTCAAAACTGTGGATGCTAGAATTCTAACAAACAGACAAACAAACTGAAACAATTAAATACTCCCTTCATTTGAGGCAGAATAAATATAGTACTACCTTATATTGTTGTTTTTGGGTTATTGGTATTTAGGGTTTATCTTTGTCTTTTTATTTCTATATCTGATACTTTTCAGCATCAATCTCTCCTTTGTGTGTGTTTTTAAGGGTTTTAAAGCTTTTGTTCAGTGGACCGCACAATGTTGTAAAACACAATGAATCACATGGAGAATTTATCCTGACTTGGACGCCATCTGAGAATCAAGATGGAGAAGATCATCCCGTCTGCTTCTTAGTCCAGGCAGAGAAAGGGTCAGTGTGGGATTTGGATCCATTAATAATAATAAGTGAAAAGCACATCATACAGTAAATACACGAGGACTGGAATATTTTAAATTTATGTTTTTGTACTATTTCAATTGTTCATCAGTGCAGCCAAATATCAGTCTGAGCTACGATGTGTGATTGTGAGCTATCGCACAGGTGAGCACACTCACATTATGTTTTTCCCTTCATTGCTTTTCACGATCAATTATTTTTACATGTTTATTATCATGTTTTCAGAACCAGTCATCACAACATCTATGCCAACAACCGTTCTGCCTTCAACTACTCCAGCGAGCACGACTACTGGTGCGTCAAACACAGAGAGCATTAATATTGTGTCAAAGTCCTGCATCACTGACATCTGGTTATTGTAACCTGTTATTACCATTAGTGGCGTTCAGTTATCAAATGCATTTTTTGTGTAATTCTACTAGGAGTGATCAAAACAAAGATGTTTGTTGTGCCCAACAAGACAGAGCCATTCAGCCATCACTAGCTGTAGCTGCAAAATAATGCATGTTTTTCTCCTTGGTGGTGGTGCAGGACTGGAACGAATCTGAATGTGGCCATTTTCCCACCATGTCGATATGTTTGTCTTTAACAGTAACCGAAACAGAAACACTGAGCATATCAACTATGGTGGCAGATGTGTCCAAAGCATCAGGTAACTATGAATACTTTTAATGGGTTGAAAATGTGCAGCCAGGGTATAAAATGAATGAATACAATGTACTTGATTACTTCAGCTATTCTCCTTCTGCCATGCATACATGCAGGTGATGACAGCAGTCGTGCTGGCAAAATTGCTGGCGCTGTGTGTGGGGCTGTAGGTGTTGCAGCGACCGTTGGCATTGTGGTCTGGGTGGTGAGAGGAAGTCCACACGCGTTCTGTGAGTCAAAAGTTCTCCTGTTTCTTAACTTTAACTTTTATTTTGGCTTAAAAACAACAGTGTAAAGTCAGTCGTTCAACAGTATTTTTTCTTTATTTTTACAGATAAAGTAGTCTAATGGAAGAAGAAAGAGATTAAGGAAAAACAAAACTGGCTATAAAATCTAGAGAACTTGGGAAAAGGATATCACAAACGTTGTTACTGCACATTTTTTTTCTGAGTAAATAATCACATTTCTACTTATGTATATACTATATGATATAGATGCATATTGTTTACTGATGAAGAATCGCACCATCGTGTCAATCTCCAGTGTACTGATATTAGTCTTTGGCTCTATCTGGTGGTGGAATGATGGCATGACATACATGTACAGAGTTGTAAATAAAAGCTACAGAGAGCAGCTTTTAGATGTGTGTATTTCATCCTTTAACATCTTACAGACTTAAATGTAAACATACAAATGAGGCAGGTTTAATATGTACAGAGAAAATGGTTGGAAGTAAGGCACTGAGGTTTGAAGCCTGAAAAGAAAAAAGAAAAGTTCTTATAATGCACCTTTCTGCTACAACTGAGCACTAAAAGCACTTTAGTTCTGTTGCTTTATTGTTTATGTTTTGTGATCTGGATGGTGAAGGAAAGTCAGGGCTGTTAGGGCTGACAAACACATCTTTTAACCCTGTGAGGTGGAAATCAGTGCCGGTGATAACAATAAACCTAATATGACCAGAATCTCATCATTTAGACAAACACAAAACAGCCATTATCTTTCTCTTAAAATGTAAATAGTTTTTGAATGTTTGTCACTTTAGATTTTTTTTTTTGAGTGCATACAAACTATAGGGGTTTGCTCATCTGCCTTCACATGCATACAAACTATAGGGGTTTGCTCATCTGCCTTCACATGCATACAAACTACAGTGACATCTCATTCTTTAGTCATAGGGCTTCAACTCTTCTGGGAAGGCTTTCCACAAAGTTTAGTAATGTAAGAGTTTTTGATCATTATTCCAGAAGTGGATTTGTGAGATCAAAAACTAATGTTTGATAAGAAGGCCTGGTTCACTTAACTCTAATTCATCCCAAAGGTGTTTTCTAAGAGGCTGATGTCAGGACTCATCCATGTATTTATGGAGCTTCGTTTGTGCTCTGGTGCAAGTCATGTTGGAACAGGAAGGAGCCATAGCCAAACTGTTCTGACAAGGTTGGAAACTTAAAATGGAAACAGCTCTAGAATCCATTGGCAATGTGCTTTTTGCCACTGCATCCAGTTACGTTCCAATACATCTCTAGATAGATAGATAGATAGATAGATAGATAGATAGATAGATAGATAGATAGATAGACTTTGCTTATAGGTGGTAACCCAAACCCCACTGTGCCAGTGTGTGTGTGTGTTTGTGTGTGTATTTTATTCATTTCTATGTTTAACATTAAATGTCTGTACTATTAAATCATTTGGATTGCTTGTATTAAGAGAAAACCAGCAGATGGTGCTAATTCTATTGGTTACCTCTGGCCAAGCTGTAATTCACATTCTTTGCTGGAGCAAGTTTGACATTTGATTTGTTCTGAGAATGAGTGCGATTTAGTGAGTCTTTTATAAGAATATGAGAATGTAGATTAAAAGTGTATCACACAACAGAAACCTAAGAGTGTTTCATATTAGCGTTTTTGCAAATCTGGCCAAATTTTTCCACAGGAAGTGGTTTCAGTCAGACAGACTTGCCCATGGTTTACATTTGTATTTGGCACAATGCAGCTGTGATTGTGTTGACCAAGACATATTGTTATATAAAATAACAAAAAAAAAGAACTAAATTACCTCTATTTTTCTGTCTTTACTTCATTCATCGTCAATTCCCCCTCCTTTTTTCCCTTCTTATGTACAAAATGTTGGAGAATATTTAAATAATTTGTAATGTGAAGACTTTGTAAAGATTCACTATGATTTACACAGCAGTGCACTCCATGACAGTGACATCAGTACTTATTCAGGGTCAGAAACCTCTGGTTCAGTGTTTGAGATAGGTCCTATTGTTCCCACCACCGAACACAACAGAGAGCAGCTTTACTCAGAAACCAGACCACAGGATTTTCCAGCCACACAGCAGAAAACTAAATATAGGTCAAACAAGTTTACCTGTCAAAACAAGCACTTATACTCGTTTCCATTTTTTGTTTTTTTGTTCCATTTTTTAAATCGTTTTTGCCATTTTAAACTGCACATGCTTTCAATATAACTGCTGAGCTGTTTGTGTTGTGGGTTTTTAAACTGGCACAGTGTCCTGTGTCTTCTCAGAAATTACACTCCCCTAGATTGAATACACTCAATTTAACCACAGCTGACCCATATTGGCTGAAAGAGCTGATGGAGCAATAATCACTGCATTTCTCTGTTTGCAATTTAAAGAAATATTATTAATTTTGAGTAAAGTTTTGAGCCCATGCTGAACGGAGATGAAAGTGTGGACAAAAACAACAAGAGACAGCCGTACAAAAGCTGATGAAAATAAAACCACAAACACTTCGCCGAGCACTGAAGGCCCCTACACTTCCTTTTCACACACAGCGATTATGCATTTCACATCCTCTGTAATCTAACAGTTTGATATTTTTCAACAAATGTTCTTGCTCTTATGAAAACAGAGGAAAATTGTCACAAAAGGTCAAAAGCGTCACACGTCAAAAATAGCAGATAGCAGCCATGTCTGGGACTTTTACTATGGGCTCCATGTCAACAGAAATGTCACAGCATGCTTTACACCTCACTGCTTATTACTGATTTATGACTGAGTGGAAACTTGACTAAAGCCACCTGTGGCCAATAAAAGAACTGGCCAGTTTAGCTCTTATGTGTCTCTTCATATTTCTGCTCTCCTACTGTCCCCTCCCACACCACAACAGGAAGGAACTGAGCAAAGTGAACAGCCTTTGTTGAGCAACAAAACACAGAACCCGGGAAAGCTTACTAACATTTATTCAGTCCTAAGATTTCTGTGATTTTAAGAAAAGTCACTCGGCAGGGTTGATAATGTGATCGGAGAAACTGGTCATGAAAACCTTAATAGTGAGAAAAAACAAAAGAACCACTCCGGACGAACCAACAACACAAGAATGAATCAGAGGCATCTCTTCATCTCCAGACATGAAGTATTTATTTTTAAAATATATTTATTCTTGCTATGAAATTAAGAATTCAACTAAAACAATTTTTAAAAAATCGGTTAAATCTGTACAAAAAGATCATAATAGGTGAAAAACTATTGACAAGAACCTAACATATCAAATATTAATTCAAAACCTTACCACTGTTTTAAAATAAACCAAAAACAAAAATTTGATTAAAAAAATCTCCTTACAGGAATAAAAACTAAGACACATCTTTGTCTCCTCTAAACACACACTTGCACTTTCTGTTTTTTAAACTCCTAACATTCAACAGGTCTCTGGTGACCCATCTAGGGTTATTAACCCATGGTTTGTTTTAGCTAGATGCTAAAAAAGTAAATTAAGTATGCATCGTTTTGCACTCTGGTTATTCAATTTTGGTTTTCCAAACAGATAAAAATTCCATTCAAATGAGTGGATGTTAACTGAATTCAAACCTTTCTCTCTGAGCCTAACTCATCAATAGCCCCCAATGACCGGGTGTCATACATCGAAGCAGGTGAACCATCGCCTCAACCTGTTGTGGTGTTGGCGTCACATACAAATGATGTCATGGGTCTTTTGTCCACATTGCTATGATGACCTCACGCACATTAAGTGGTCCTTTTAATGGAAAATGATTAAAGTCGATTAGAGCCACATCAGGTCGACCTGAGATACTGTTGAAAGGGCTATAAGTGGTAAGATATGAAGAAAGATTGCGCAGCAGGCACACGCAGTGGCATCAGGACAGGAAAAACCCTTTGAGATAAAAACCAAGGTTTATACTCGAGTGTTAGTGAACATGAAGTCGTATTAAAACATTATCCTGATATTCAGATAGTAACTACTGTTTTCCTGATAAACAAAGTAAACAACATGGTGATGGGCTTGCACACACACAATAACAATGCAAAACATGAAATACTGTGGCAGAATACAGCAAGACAATAACATTAGTTATTAGAAGACTCAGTTTGTAGAAGTGTTACAAACAGACCACTTGCGCAGGCCTCAGCTCTTTTTTTTTGAATGACACTACGGTCCCCGTTGGCCCTGCACAGATAAATGCTGGCAAATGTCAACTGAAAGCTGGTGAAAAATGAATACCCACGTTCAGGACACCCCGTGGTACATGTTCATCAGCTTGTTTGGTTAAACAACCATTTCCATGATGACATGATCCGTGCTCATTCTCTTTGCAGCATTCTGAGCTGCTGTGAAGAAAAAACAAACAGAACAGCAACATGAATTCTTGCAGCTTTTGTCTTAACAGTCGTCAGCAAACAGCAGTAAAAGGTTTTTAATCAGATCAAGATTGCCTCATTTTTCTAGAAGTAACTTGTTTGTCAAAGGTCACCTGCAATACCACATTGTAACTTTGGAATTTACCTGCAAACCTCAATAACCTCAGCAGCTGGTGTCAAAACACAGTTCACCAGAAAAAACATGGCTGCTTTATAATAACGTGGCACCTAAAGAACAGACTTTTTTCTACCAATAACATCTATTGCTCATGAGCACAGTATAAAAAAATGGACATGACCACCGTGAGATCAACCAATGATTTATAAAGTCTCATTATGAAAGCTCAAATTCACACTTTTGTAGCACCATTCGAAACCAGATTATTAGTTCTTATAACCAAGAATTATGTTGTGGAGGCCGTCCACCTTCAGTTAATACTGTAAAATGATAAAGCCAGACAGGAAATACAATTTAAAAATTTAAAAATTTAAAGTTAAAGCCCTCCGGCAACCATTAAAACATGTATAATGTGAAAACGAACATACAAATGTTATATTTGACATAAGAAAACGAACATATCTACTTTCCTTTATCTCTATTTCCAACTTCACACACAGCAACACCCACACACACACATATATATAGTCAATATATCGTAGAGTGAACTACAAATACAGCATTAGGTGAGCAGATTTTAAGGAGTATTATCCATTGCCATCATATCAACAAAAGGAGGATGACATTACACAGTTAGGCATGGATGATTTGATTATTTGATGTAAGCGCTGAAACCAAACAGTTTCCAAAAGCCTCCCTTTTATGAATTCTAAAATTGTGCATTAATGTAAATGGACTGGTTCTTATATAGTGCTTTTCTAGTCTAATTGAGCACTCAAGGTGCTTTATACAAATAATTCATTCACCCAATCACTTTTTCCAAGCTGTTAGCCTATCTAACATTCATACACAGTCACACTCGATGGATGCATCGGAGAGCAACATGGGGTTAGCATCTTGCTCAAGGATATTTGGCATGCAGACTTGGGGGAAGCCAAGAATCGAACCACGAACCTTCCAATCAGTAGATGACCAGCTCTACCGCTGCAGCCACTTTTATGAAGACTTTTATGAATTGAATTTGAATTAGTGGCCAAATTATACGTACAGTACAGTGAAAAAAAAGGATTTGCATTCCATTTTCAATGCTTTTCTTTCTTTTACTGATATTTGTCACACTTAAATGTTTCAGAGCTAATAGTTACTTGGCAGTAAGGGCGGAATCAAACATTTGGCAGTGAGCCTGTGACATTGCTGTGGAGAAATTTTGTGTGCATACATATATATATATATATATATATATATATATATATATATAAGCTTAATCTGATGGCTGGGCCTTCTGGTAGAGAGGAGAATTCATGGTTCCATCAATTATGGTAAGATGTCCGGGTCTTGAAGCAGCAAAGTTGTCCCAGACTATCACACTACCACCACCTTGTTTGACTGATGGCATGATGATCTTCTTATGCTGAGAAAAGGTGAGATGAGAAAACCTTCCAAAAACTTTGGTCTTGTGAGTCCAGACATTATTTTGCCAAAGGTTTTGGGGATCATCGAGATGTTTTTGACACTGTGAGATGAGCCTTTCTTTTTGGTTAGCAGTGATTTACTTAGAACTCTCCCATGAATACAATTTGTATCCATTCTCTTATTGTTGAATCATGAATTCTGACTTTTACTGAACCAAGTAAAGGCTGCAGTTCTTTAGATGGTGTTTTGTGACCTCGCTTGCGGTGTTCCTGTAGATTGTGGCATGATCTGTTGCTTTTTGTAATCTTTAGGCTGATTCACTTTGTCACAAAGGTTCTGTTTAAGGAAATTCTTAAAATGAACAGGTTTGGATACATTGGACTATTATTTTCTTAATGATTTGATGCATGTCACTGTGCCAAATATGCAAAAAAAAATGAAGACAACAAAATAATCAACAATAGATGACATATCTATTTTATGTAACATTCTATTTTCAGACAACAGTTTTGATTAACAGAAATTGTCACTGACAACAAACAAAAGCCTCAAGAAAACAGTTTACTAGCAGATAGCACATGTTGTTGTTGTTATAACCCAATCTGATAAGAAATACCTCTTACACACTTGCAGGGTTTACTTTACCTCTCCTCCTGTCTCGGTATATAAGCCCCAGTAGAACAGTGGACACCAGGTAAGGCGTTCCCACCAACAGGTGAAATACTAGTCTTAAGACAGAAAAAGAGCAGGGAGCGGCCGGTTCAGCTGCAGATGTAGATGAAGGAAACTCCTGAGATGAAGCTGTAAAGAGATGAACATGGAAATTATACATTTAAATGCTTTATTAAATACATGTTTTCTTTAATTGTGTCTTTTTTAGGGGTAGAATGTTTTTCTCTCTTCATCATTTGCAGATGTACAAAACACAGACAAATATGCAAATTTTGGAGATTTAGATATAATTCCTCTAACAGCCATTTTTTTAAATTTCTTTTTTCTTAAAATGCTTAAAATTTTTAAATTGCTCAACATTGTGTATGTGATGGGATTTTTGTTGCTCACCATCAACTGCCAGCCAGCTGCCTAGTGATTCTTCACCTCCTGAAATGCTGCATTTATAGAGTCCTTCATCAGATTTAGAAACCCTTTTAATGGTGATTTCTCCTGTGGAGTTCCTTTTGATGCAGTGGCCATCTTTATAGAAATCAAAAAACTGGTTGAAGGACTTTGTCTCAGGTGTACAATGCAGTGTTACAGTGGCTCCCTCGGACACAGGAAGGGCAGGACTCTCCAAAATCAGAGGCTGATCTTTGGAAAATGCAGAAAATCAAGATTTGTCATTTTTATAGGTTTTTTTTGCTTCGTTTCTAAATGATCTGCCTTAATAAGTGTGACTTTAAGTTTAAATGTTGCATAGCAGAACTTAACGTAGTGTTATTCATACCAGTAATGGTAATGTTGACCACATTGCTCTGCTCCCCACTGACAGACTCACACCAGTACACACCGCTGTCTGGTGGGTAGGTTTGTCCGATGATGCAAGTCGAACCCGAGGAGGCATAGCCCCAGCCAGAGGAGCAGGGTCTGGTCCCCCCTGCGAGCGTTTTCCTCTTCACTTTCCAACCAGTGTTGTTCAACTGTTCGCCACAGCTCAAAGAGATGTTGTCATACCTGAAGAACTGAGACCTGTCAGGGTTGACCTGAAGACAGGCTGTAGGGAAGGAAGGGAGAGAGAAGGAGACAAGAAAAGGGTGAAAATTAAAAAAACAAACAAAAAAACAACAACCAAAAAAAAAACCAGAATGAAAATAATTTATTAAGGACCGAATAAAAGCAGTGTTTAAGAAATAACAGTGTAAGCAGGGATAATGATGGATTATAAGAAAAAAAAATTGTACAAAATTGTTCAAAATATCCTTAAATGTTGAATTTTGTACTCACTCAGCATCAGGCAGAATGGTGTTAACTGCATCCTGTGTCAACACCAACTAACAGAAAAACAGACGCTGATCTCTCACTTCCTGAAGATTTTGGTAGGCGTGGTTGTTTTGTTTGATGGCAGCTGCTGCGGGAAACACATCGAAATGTGTTTGCTCATCAACAGTTATCATGGCATGCGACTGATTTGATTAATGCAACTGACCTGCTTACTAAATGCATCGATTTTATTTCGGGGAAAGTACACCAAACTATAAAACAACCCAAGAAGTTGCCTATGCAAGTAATGCAATCATATATCAACAGTATCATCTGTTTTAATGCATATAAATGCTGGTTCCATTACTTGATTTGATCTCCCTTACACCAATTTATCTTTTTTACAAGATGCGAGCAGCCACCTTAACCCTTAAATGTGTAAGTGGGTCAAAAATGATCCTCCGATAGGTATCATAAGTTTCCTAGAAACAAAGGTCGTAAACAGAGATGGGTAACGCGTTACTGTAATCTGATTACTTTTTTCAAGTAACGAGTAAAGTAAGGGATTACTATTGCAAAAACGGTAATTAGATTACCGTTACTTTCCCGTAGGAACGCTGCGTTACTGCGTTACTAAAACCGTGATTTTTTGCGAGAATGTCTCACGACAGTGACATCAGCAAGTGCGCGTTAGTGACAACAGCTGTCTGCAGATCAACAATGGATCACATATCGATTGTGGGAGAGAGTATGAGCGTGCAGCGTTTAAAGTGTGGAAGTACTGACCTTACTTTGAGTTTGATTCCATAAAAAGTGACAAAAACATTAGCGTCCATCGTGCGTGGGAAGAAAACTTCTTTTTACAGCGAAAAAAACCCCTAAACTTCCAAGCAAGCACCGAGTGCGCCATGACGTAATGGGAAACTCACAGAGAAAGTCGTGGATTCTTCAACTGACCGCGGCACACCTGCACCAGGGTAAACCTCCGCCTACCGCAGTCCTGCTATACAGGTGAAATAGAGCAACAGCACCGATGAGTCTTTGACTTTATTTATTTTCTGCTGTGTTTTACTTGCATCTATTTGAAAGAGTGAGTGTAAACACAAAAAATATTTTATTTTATGTACTGGAATGTGCAGAAAATAGCTTTAAATGTTAAACTAATTTATTCAAGTCAGAGAATGTTGCATATAATTAAATTTTTGCTTGATGCATAAAGTTAAAAGATTAAAACTGATAAAACAAGTTAAAAAAAGAGACTTTTCCATTTGATTACATTTTGTATGATGGATTATGCAGAAAAAGTAGAATTGGGCTGAAAGATCTATCACTTTATCACCTATTCAGGTTGTAAATCGTGTTTTTAAAAAGTAACTAAGTAACTAAGTAATTAATTACTTTTGAAAATAAGTAATCAGTAAAGTAACGGGATTACTTTTTTGGGGAAGTAATCAGTAATTAGTTACTGATTACTTTTTTCAAGTAACTTGACCAACACTGGTCGTAAAGTTGTAAAGTAAAGTAAACAGTATGTGTGTAGTGATTGTAGCTCGAAACAGGTAGTTTGTCACAATTTAAACAGCGAGCAGATAAGGCAAGAAAACAGCAATGTTTGACTAACTTATTTAAAAATGTAGAGTCCAGTCACTCGTGGATCTAAGAGTTAATATCAGCTGCTGATTTGTGGGCTGATTTATGAGCTACTAGTGATGGGATTTCTGGCTCTTTTTACAGAACCGGCTCTTTCGGCTCCCAACCAGCTCTCCAGGTTGTTTTGTTGCTTTAATTTATTTATTATTAACAACAATTAAAAATTATGCACAAAAGGAATTACTAATGTAAAAAAAGTGGTTTTATTTATATATGTTTATATATAAATATATGTGGTGGCCCTAGAGACAAAGCACATACAAACACATTTCTAGCGTTAACTGAACTTCCAAAACAGAGCTACCTAGATCACTTAAATTACACAATTGAAAGCATATGTGTATTGTTTGTGTATTTATACACAAGCACTCATATATATTCAGATAATTAAAAAAAAAAACTGTTACTACCACACACCAAATCCGGTCGTTGGTACTTGCTGGCTTGTGTAGCCACTAGGTAATAAAAGCTCAACACTGTCCCTAGCATTCTGGAGCACTTCTGTTTGGTTTTGTACGTGCTTCGGAGTTTGTCCTTGCTTCTGAGTTTTTACGTGCTTTGGGGTTTGTACGTGCCGTAAATATACTTTAAATATACTTTTATTTATTCACTCCACATAAAATGTAATAAATAAATCATATAATAATAAAAACCAACTATTTCCATTTCAACTTTTAACTATTTAAATTTTCAGCTTTTTCCTTTTAAACAAATTTAAAGTGAAACAACATAAAACACTGCAAACCACAACACAATTAAATATAAATTAAAATATGAAAACAAAAAGAAGATGCATATTCTCTGTCATATGGGCCTGCATGAATAAACTTTCTGAATCCTTTATCATCCGCAACTGAAAATAGTTGTGAATGATTACTACACCTTTCTAACGTGACGTTGTTGTCTCTGGCTCTCTTTCCCTCCTGCTCTGGTCCTGTGTTACTGTGAGTGTAACTACCGCCCCTCTTCCCAGCGCAAAGCACAAGTCCTGTGCGGAGTGAAGCTAAAAAAAGGGAGAGAGAGGGAGAGAGAAAGAAAAAAGAAAAAAAAACCTTGTGTCGTTCACTTCAAAGAGTCGGCTCTAGGAGCCATTTCGTTCGCGACCGACACATCACTATTAGCAACCATTCTGAAGCACTAGTTTTAGCATTGCAGCTTTTCTTTGAGCTAAAAGTATCCAAAGATTGAATGCTCTGTTGTTACTAATGCTTGCCAGTGAGATGCATGCATAAACAACAGGTATGAACACAATGACAGACTAATAAAATGACAGAATTTGTCAGAACTGGTAACAAACATCTTCTTGGATGGTCTTTTAGTAGACAACAAATAATCACACAAGCAGTTGCTAGCCTAGCAAGCACAGCTAATGTCTTTTCACTGAAATGGCTAACCACTTTCATAACAACCGACCCTTTTGCACTTTAACATTTTTTTCCACTGATAAAGAAATTGGAAAAGTGCTTTTTTAAATTTCAGTAGAATTCATATTTTATTTCTTCCAGGTGTTAATTTAACATTTTAACACTAGATTAACGTTTTGGTTACACAACAGATATTTAGCACAATGCAGTTTTAAATAATATAAGCCCCCATATAAATCGAGATATTTAGTGATTGTGGAGAAGTAAGTAAATGGTAAATGGACATGTATATCACCTTTATATCACCTTTCTACAAGTCTTACTCACCCAGTCACACACATTCATGCTGGGCTTATGTCTCAGCACTTTTTAACATTTACATGAATGTACTGGGGTCAAAATGAGGTTCACTATCTGATACTTTGGTGTGCATTCAGTATGAGAGCATTAAGAATGAACCACATCATTGACAAATCAGTGACAGTGCTTTGAGGTCTGTGGTCTCTTTGAGCATGTGATTCTTCTTGGAGAGGTCTGCCATCCTGTGGCAGTTGGAGGACACTACAAATGTTAAGCTTTTCGAGGCAGAGGGAAAACTCGGCTGCTAAACACTCGGCATGCCTTCAACTTCTCAGCCTACCATCTTTTTTTAATTGAAGACGATGACTAACCTCATTTTTTTGTTCCCCTTATACATCAATACAGCTTTTATACATATGCTACTAAGAAAAACACAAGGATGTGTTGGGGGAAAAAAATCACAGATTTAATCTTTAATGCATGTCCTTCTTTACTACATTAATGAATCTTCCCTTTGGTCCTCCAAGAGATCCACTACTCTGTCAAACATTAAATTAATCTGTGTGCATCCCACTCAACGAACTGTAGTTTACTATGGGTATCTTTTGTCATGGTCCTGGGTCGGTGACCCAGCGCTTTTAGTTTATCATTTTCTAGTTTATTATGATGATGATTATTATTGTTTGGGTTCTATGTGTTATATTTGGTCTGTGTCTCTGTCTGTCTATGGTGTCACCCTGTCTGTTTGTCATACATACATACATATTTGAGAAAATCATATTAGAATGCAGGACTTTGTTGGGACATTGTGCTGAGAGATTTGTAAACTACTTTCACAGCTGGGTGAAGTTGGTGGAAAGTTACATTTTAATAATAACTTAAATGAATGCATGCCCTTGTGCAAAAACATCACCAAACAAAAATGATATCATTTGGGATTACAGATGATAGATGACAAACATTTTTACATGAGCCACTGAAACCGAGCTCACTGTCCAAGTTTAGCAAATGTAACCTTTCAATTACAGAAATACAAAGATACCCTTTTGCACATTTTATGCAAAAACCTGGAAATATTTTTAATTAAAGAACAAAAAGGTTAATGTATGAGCAGGATGAATACATCATGATATATACAATAATTCAATAACAATTAAAAAAAAAAAAGAAGAGAGTGAGCTTACTTGAGTTAGATTCTTGGAAAAGATCTCCTATATCCATGCTAATTTTAGCACAGAACATTTTGTTTTTTCCCCCAAATCATGGTAAAGCATCATGGTCTCTGTGATTTTGCAAATGGTAATGCAAAAAATAAAAAAATAAAAAAAATCAAAGACCTGTATCTCTTACATACTTTCCTTAGTGATTAATAAAGTATTCTGATTCTGATTCTGTAGGACTAGCTTAGTTTTCTAGAAATACACCACCGGGCTGGCTCAGTTCTTTTAAATTCCATTTTTCTACTACTTATTTGAACTCTTATCTAGAGGTAACAATCTAAGCAGTGATGCCAAGATCCCCCCTTTTCCAACAACACCGAGGCACCACAACAGCCAGTGCAATACTCACGTCACTGCAGCTGACTGTCAAGCTCCTACTCCACGCTTCAGTCACTGGTGTTAAATTTCAGCACCTATTGCTCAGTTAAGGAGTTTCAATCATTTGAACCAAGTGAGCATTACCTTGCCATGCACTTATTCTAGTACAATTTACGTTTCCTTTTGTTTTCATTTCTTAATAAACCT